AGCTGGTAGTGCGTTTGCCTTGCACGCAGCCAACATGGTCGACCCAACTTCAATTTCTTCGTCCCTCTCGGAGAGCCCGGCGAACTACTGAGAGTATCTCGCCCGCACGGCAAAGCCTGTCAGGCTACCTGTGACGTATTCGATATGCCAAACACAGTAATAAGTGACACAATGGAGATGTTACTGGGCCCGCTTGAGCAAATCGATGAACAACGGGAGGACAGTGACAGTGACAATTCAAAACATAGACTCAACAAAATTGAAAACATGAGCTCTAAGCTGCAATCATTGAAACTTTGTAATGTGCCTGACAAGTGGACAGGTGTCTGTGGTAGGAAGGGAATATGAAGATACTTGTGGTGGGATTGGTGTTGAAATATAAACCTAAAATGTAGCTATAATCACATTATAACTTTGTAAATCACAGTTCTTTAATTAGAAAATTTAAAAAAAAAGAAGTTTTTAAAAAAGAATGTGTTGAGTTTTTAAAAGTTCAGTTGCCAACTGTTTGATCCCCCCTTGTATGTAGGGGAAATGCAGTGCTCCTGGCAATAGTCAGGGGCTGTTTGTGGCAGTCTATAGGATAACAGTGTTTTGTCCTTCCTGTATAGCCTCAGGTAGTTTAGATTTATTGGGTTGCTCCCATCACATTATTCCCATTCCTCTGTGTCTTATTTGTAACTTCTTTCTTTGTGCTCTGTTTACTTGTAAATACTGTTTTTCTCTTCTCCCTAAGTCCTTTGCTTAGTTTATTCAGAGCAATATCCTTTTTGTATGGACACAAGAAGACTGTATATGCTATGCTCTTGTTATGTGACTCTCTGATATTTTCCTCCTGGGCATCTGTTCTCTCGACCTAAGCCTCAGTTGCCCTTACATACTAGCGCCCCCCCAAACCAGGGTCCCGACGAGGGACTGGATGGAACCAAGGCAGGCAGTAAGCTATGTGCTACCCTGGCATCAAGATGGGCCTGGCCAAAGCGCCATAATGCTTAACTATAAGTTAAGAGCTTGGTCGTGGACAAATGCTGTCATGATCCAAAATGTGATAACTAGATTCGGACTCTGCTAGGGTTAGGAATGATTAATCTGGCCTGAATGTTATAGTCTGAGTTGAGATGCCCTACAAGCCTCATTGTTATCTCTTACTGTGTCCATACAAAATTAACTAGTATTAAGATGCTGATAGAGTTACTGGACTGAGGAAAGGAGAAAAACACCTTAGGAGGTATTTTGCCCTTGGGGAGTCAGGAAGGGCTTTGGAATACTTTTTAGGTGGTGTACCTTCTGAACCTGGTGGGTCCTCAGGAAGGGCTTTCTTATGTTGATTTGACTACCAGACTGCATGTGGTGTCAGCACAGAGTGCAGGGGAGTTGGAGAGAAGAGACAGGAGAGATGAGAGAGAGCGAGCAGGGTGGCAAGATGGGCTGAAGAGAGGCTAGCAAGGGGGACAGGCAGAGAAAAATGTAGAACAAGAATACAGGAGCAAGCACCTGGAGAGAGAAAGCCCAACCTGCGAGATGGAGCATGGAGAGATGAGCGGGAGAGACAGAAGGAGACGGGAATGAGGAGCAGTGTGAGACTAGAATGAGAGGCTTAGAGAGACTGGGACAGGCACGTTGGGAGAATGGAATAAACGGCAGCTGACCAATCAAATACCTTGGCCCTTGTTTCATCCACTGTCTGACCCATGACCTGGGCCACCACGGCTGGGGGAGCAGCTCGGGCCCACCCCGAATTTGGGCAGACAGGGGAAGAGCCACCGGGGGCCTCCCCTGGCTGCCCCCCCGCCCTGAGATTTTTTTACAGCAGTCCTTCAGGGACCATTTGTGGTGTTAGGGAACAAACTGGAATCGTTTCAAAGGTGAACGTTTTAACATCTTAACTCTCCAATCTCGATCATCTAGGATTTAAAGAATTTAGGGCTGGAGTGATAGCACAGTGGTAGGGCGTTTGCCTTGCACGCAGCCAACATGGCCGACCCGAGTTTGACTCCTTCACCCCTCTCAGAGAGCTCAGCAAGCTACCGAGAGTATCTTGCCTGCATGGCAGAGCCAGGCAATCTACTCGTGACATATTTGATTTGCCAAACACAGTAACACAATGATGGAGACGTTACTGGGCCTGCTCGAGCAAATCAATGAACAATGAGAGGACAGTGCTACAGTGCTGTGCTACTAAATACTGTGTTAAATCTAGTATGTTTATTATACCTTATTTGCAAACTTTGCTCCACTTTCTCTTTTCATTATTTTGGATGGATAAGCATATTTTAAAAACTTTTCATAAGTCCTCCCATTAGCTTGCGATTTATACAACGTTTAAAAAAATTATTTTAGTTACCTTAAGGGCTGAAATCACTAAAAAAATAATCAGATCTCATAGTACTTTTTCTCAAATAAAACAAGAACTATAATCATTTTGTTATTTTAAAAATTATATAGATTTTACATAACTTGTAAGTTGCTTTTGTTATTTTTTATCAATGATCTTGAAATTTATGCTTATATATACTAGCTTTCTTTTGCGTTTTATGTTCTATAACCTTCCTGTGGAATTATTTCTGTTATATACTACACTTTTCTTTAATGAAGGGATACTGGTAATTAGCTTTCATGGCTTTTAATCTGAAGATATATTTTGCCTCAAGTTTTGGAGAATATTTTCAGTGAATCTAGAATTCTAAGCTGGCATTTATTTCCTTCAGCACATAAAAGATGTTTCACTGTCAGTTTGCTTTAGTTAATGACTTTTGAGAACTTAGCTATCATTTAAATTACTGTTCTTTTTAAGGTGGTTCCCCCTTGAATACTTACAAGATTTCCTTCACTAGTTTTCTGCAACTTCAGTATGATTTAAAATATAGATGATTCTGATGTTTTAAAAACCTTTATGATTCACTGAGCTTCTATAGCCTTTGATATTTTTATAATTTCTGATAAATTCTTGCCAAATTTTTCCAACTACTGTGTTTCTCCTTAAGATGCTACTTCCTTAATTCAACTACAGGTAATCAACCATCAGCCATTATCTTCTCCATTAGGTTTTTCCTTTGTTTTCTTGGAGGAGGTAGTGTGGTGGGGAGGGGAAGATGGAGGGGAGGAGGAGGAAGGAGGTCCCAAGCAATGTCCAGCAGATCTGGGAGCCATTCATGGAGATATTCAGCCTAGCAGTGCTAGGGGCCACTGGAGTGTCTCCTGTAGTACTTGAAAGTCACTAGGGCTATAGCTGGAGATGCTCAGAGAGCCATTTGAAGCAAAGTAATGTGTTTGGGGCCTAGCACACTCTCCAACTTGTCCTTTATCTCCAATGGGTTCTTAGTTGGGTTGCATTATTTATTTTTTAAAAAATTGTTTTAGTTTTTGGCCACAACCAGCTATGCTCAGGGCTTCTAATGGCTCTGGGCTCAGAGATCTCTCCTGGTGGTGATTAAGGGTTCATAAGCAATGCCAGGTATTAAATTAGAACTGGTCATGTGCTAGTTAAGTGCCTAACCACCTGAGTTATATTTCTTGTCCTTTTATCTTTTAATTCAAGACTTTCCTTCCCAGCCCCCCTCCCCAAATCTGTCATTTTCTATAGTATTTTTTTATTCTAAAATTTTCAAGCTTTCTTTTTTGCCTTCTGAACTTCATAAACAGTGTTTTGAGTCAACAATATCTGGAAAGTTTTGGTTACTGTCTAGTTTCTGAAATTTTTTCTTCTCTTACAGTGTTTGGTCTCATGTGTCTGATCCTCTTTGATTATATGCTAGATACCGTATTTGAAAAACTATTTTTTGGTATGGTTTGTTTACTTTAGTTCACTTTTATTCTTAGGGTGTATGTCTTAAGATTTTGTCCAAAGAAGGCTGACCAGTGTGCACACTTGAACTGCAGTATGTCAGAGACCCCAACATTTATCCCCTTTCCCTGAGTAAGATTACATATGGTAGAGTTCAGACTCTCAGTTACTTTTTCCAAATTGGCTTAATAACTATAATGCGCAACTACAGGGGCTGGCAGGACAATAGAGCAGGTAAAGGGTCTTATCTTGCACAAGGCTAACTTGAGTTTGATTCTCAGCATCCCATATGACACCCCAAACACTGCCAGGAGTGATCCCTAACTACAGAGCCAAGGGTAAACCCTGAGTATCTCCAGGTGTGGTTCCCAAACACCAACGAAAGGAATGTGTAACTAAAGAACCATCTTTGAGATATTTACAGTTAAATGAACTTAAAAAAATAGCTTTGGCTAACATAGTTATGGAATAGATTCTTAACATGAGATTCCCAAAATGAAACTAATTATACTATTAATAAAACAAAGAGCACTGAGTTAAACAGATGACAATAAACATCAATAAATTTGATGAAAACTTATATGAGCAAAACTCAAGTGTTGCACTTATTTTCCTACCACTTAAAAACTGATATATTATTAATGGTCTAAATCATTTGTTGAACCAACACATGTGGAACATGGCAACAGGCACCAGAGCTGATAAGATCTGTCCCTGCATAGTCACCCCATAGGAAACGTCTGGGTGCATATTACAAGTGCCAGTAATCTGGTGTTTGGTCTCATCCCCCAAGAATTGCCACCTAACTGTATTCCTAACTGCAGCATCTAGCCTTAACTGGAATTCAACTTGGGCAGAGCAGAGTAGGAAAGGTGATAGGTCAATAATGCTAAACTTTATGTGACTGGATCAACCTTTTAAGCCAAGACCCTCTATACAATATGTGTGTAGTTGGCAGTAAAGTGAGCAGTCTTCAGCTTCTCCCAGAGTGATTTCTCCACGCCCATCATCCATCGCCCTGAGTCTGCCCGGAGCCAGTGCACAATGTGTCTGGGCATGCTGGGAAAAACCGTTCCCCAACAAACAAAAACATCCATCAGTAATTATATTGGGAATCACTGTTCACCCCAAAGATGAGGGATTTAGAATTTTCAATTTTTATAGTTAGAAGACACTTTGTAAATAATTTAATACAAATTCCAAGTTTTTTCCTCACCGTTTTCTGCCAATGGAGCAAGGACTTCAAAAATCATTTCTCTCTTATCATGTTCTATTTGTTTCTTGAAAAGTTTTACCAGCTCTTCAGCAATATTTGTACTGGCGAACTGTTCTTTACTTGACTCTAAAAACAAAAAAATCAAGTAAGTAAACAATTAGGTCTATAAGTGTTTTCTATTTTTCAACATGTTATTTTACAGAAATAATGAAATCCATTTTAAATGTACCTGAAAGGAAAAATGCCTGAGGCTGTAAAGAAAAAAGTATAATCGAATTATTTTCAAGGTCATAAAAAGTCCTCACTATAAAATTTAGGTAACAACAAAACTGCTGAGTTAAACATATACAGTTGTGAGAATTTTTGCCAAGATGAAAATTATTCTTTTCATAAGAGTTCATAAGAGCTCATAACAGATTGCATTTTATATAGCTGAATTAAAGATAACTTCATATCATAACTTATCTCCATATCCTTAAAATTACTTATATTATTAAATTGGCAAACTTCTGCACTGGTCTAAACATGCTTTGATCTTTCCCAGGAGCCTTGATTCTTCTTTTCACTTTAGCACCTACCACCTTTCCTCACTAGTGTTACTATCATCTTTTAAATACTTTCGTATTTCTCATATTAATAGAAAATAATTGGGAAAACAAAGACCTTCTCTCTATTCTACTTTTCTTCAATGCTATCTAATCTTTGTTCACTTGCACAAGCAGGCTCCTAAACAGCACAGCCTATGCATAGATGACTTTCCAGGTTCTCAATCCATGCATTTCCGAATCCACTTGCAATTAGTTTGGCCACCTCAGTCTCCTTTACTTGCTTTTGCTTGCTCTTCCTTTTCCACTAAGGATATATTAACTTCCACTTGCCTTATTCTCTCACCCTAGGCAACTGAATTTCCCCTCGCATCTCCAAAGGAGCACTAATATGGTGATCGCTAGCCTTCTTTTGGACTCTTGGCCATCTGGCTATTTGACATCTCCATTTAAATATTTCTCTAGCATAGAAGCTCAATGTACAAAAAAAGAGTTTTGATATTCCTCTTAAATCTGTTCTTCCTCCAGAATTCTCTATGTATGCCCCTAAGGAAATCTGGTAAAGGAATTTATTGGAGTTTGAGGGCACAGAATCATTTTAGCTAATACATAATGTCTGGCACATAGCAGGTTTTAAAAATAAATCCACTGATAAACAAATGCCTGATTGAATAAGTAAATAAATAGAAGAGTTATACTGCTCTGTAGTCTGGCAAATTTTTATGTTGTGATCAAATAAATACATCAAATTTAATTTTAAAAGACAAATATGATCTTGACATGAGTTAATAGTTTTGAATATTCTGTTAAATTGCTCGTAGCACATATACCAGGTTCATTATAGTCAATAGGAAGAAAATCTAATGCAAGATGTTCTAAATCTGATTCTCTGGTGCCACAGAAAAGGAGCAAGGTACAGTGTCCTTTCCAATAAGTTACCTCAATTCTCAGAGATCATATCTTACAAACAGCACACCTACCCTAAAAAGTTACCCTTAATATTCTTAGTGTAATTAAACTATAATTTGGTTATGTCAATAACTGCATAATAGTCCCATCTGCACACTATTGATTTAATAAGTCCTAATACTAGAATCCATTTTCCCTCTCCATTTCTTCTCTTAATTAAGCAATAAACCCCTTTTAAGTTAATTCACAGGCATTTACCTCCATATCATCAAATACTTTATTTGGGGTACCTCCATATCATCAAATACTTTATTTGGGGTGTAGGCTCCTAAGCAGTGCTTACGGGACCTGGGGAGCCAACTCCTAGAGATACTTGGCCCCAAGTTAAATGAATCAGTGTTAAGGTCAGTTGGCTTAAGGTGCTGCTTGAGCCCTGTGATGTGGGACACAGGGGTACTAGAGCAGTGTTCTGGGGCACCAGTGCCAGACCTAGTACTGCAGGGCTGAGGCATGTGGCACACAGGGGGTGAAATATGTGTGAGGCACCCACCCCTATGCCATCTCTCCAGCCCCCAAATAATTTTTTTCTACTTCTTGATTTTTTTTTTACTTTATGACAGATGAGAAATTCAGTTTTTTTAAAATTATTTTAAATTATTTTCAGTCTTCAGTATAATGTGACCATATGGAAATTTTGGTTTCATCAATAAGTAGTGCTAAAATAATTCAATTTCATTTTCTCTGAACTCTGCTTCCCTGGAATTTCTTATAACTTGCTGATTTCAGCTCTCTACTCTTAATACTTTTACACAGGAACTCACATTCAAAATCTGTCTGGACACAATCTTTTCAACAGATATTCCCAGTTTATCAGGAAAAACAGCAAGAGAAACAAAGTGGTATTTGCAACTCTCTGCCTATTATCTCTCTTGGCAGGGGATGTGAGAGCTCCTCAATATACTGTGCTACTTTGCTACTAAATTATTTTTCCTTATTCACTTGCCCAGACAATAAGTTCATTCTCCAACTGCTACATATTTATTGTAGTGTGCTAATCTTACTAATTATATTATTTATTTAATAAATGTCAAACACTATCCTGTGAAATACATAAAAGATGGAAAGTGATAATGGGAGGTGATAACGGAATTTTGGCTGTGTCAAAGAGTCAAAGAGAATTTATATGTAAAAGAAATTGGTTAAAAAAGATACTCTGTTGCCAGAGTTTGCACCATAATTGGTGCAATCTTTCTACTTCTGGGTTTTAGGAAACCTTTCACTTCCCCTTAGTAGTGATGCATATCATTTTGATTCAACAACTCTTTTACATGAAACTCTGAAATTGACAGGGCTCAGTAAACACAGTGTTTACTGAGAAATCTTATACAGGTATGATCTTCATTATAAAAATTTAAATTTTAAGTGTCTTATTTTAGCCAGAAAAACCATAAGTTTTTATAAAAATCCTAGCAGACAAATCACATGGGCAAAAACAACTATATATAGTATTGAACCTAAAATTTAACAGTGTTTATATTCTTTTTAAAGATCATAAAAAAATTTGTATAAGTTATCAAGCTGTAGCACTGTAGCACTGTCCTCCCGCTGTTCATTGATTTTGCTCGAGCGGGCCCAGTAACGCCTCCATTGTGAGACTTGTTACTGTGTTTAGCATATCGAATACATCACGGGTAGCTTGCTAGGCTGTCTGAGAGGAAGAGTCCACTGTAAAAATGATAAATTATAAAAATAAATTATAAAAATATAAACCATAAAAATATAAATTATAAAAATAAAGCTTTAACTTATAAAAAATAATTTTCAAATGATTTCACAGAGAATACAATAAGGCTCAAAATTTCAAGTGCCTGATAACTATCCACTAGCAAGTCAATTTTATCCACTGTATGTTAATTATCAATTTTATACTGTGATGAATACTTTGGGCTGGAGCGATAGCACAGCGGGTAGGGCGTTTGCCTTGCCTGAAGCCAACATGGCCGACCCGAGTTCGATTCCTCCGCCCCTCTCAGATAGCCCGACAAGCTACTCAGAGTATCTTGCACGCACGGCAAAGCCTGGCAAGCTACCTGTGACGTATTCGATATGCCAAACACAGTAACAACTAAGTCTCATGGGAGGACCGTGACCGGACCGTGACTGTGATGAATACTTTGAATAAACAGAGAATATAAATTATCATGATACACTGAAATATTATTCAGGTTTAGATGTGTTTACATATTATTACTCAGGTAAGAAGAATTTTTACCATGAGGAAGTCTACAGACTTTGAAACATTTGGTCCATTTATAATGTGAGTTACTTTCTGAGAATGTCAATATTTCATATTAATATTATAGTGTCTTAAACACAGTAGGAGCTAGATCAATTATCTGAGTAGAACTATACTAAATTGTCTGAGATTAGGACCTAAGTCAAAAGCTATGTTTAGTATAATTTACATAACAAACTAATTCACTAACTGCCTTTCACAAACTTTACTCCCAGAAATATAGTATATAGTATAGTTCTTTTACTATATATGAGTACCGTCCTAAATTAACATTAGTAAATAAACTATAGGACTATACTAACTGTAAGGATTAGATCCCATTTACCTAAAAGTTCTACTCAATAAATAGATCAACAAGTTGCAGTTTCTTCTCGACTCTGCAGAGCTGAGTTGTCTGAGGCACCTCAGAGGGAGTCAGGTGAGCCCAGAGCCCACCTATAACCTCGGTAGCTGAAACCCTTCACACTCCACAACTGCTGCTACACTCCTCGCCAGACTCCACTGCTTGGATGAGTCTCATCCAGAAATTAATCTGTTGAAATACTCAGGTATGTGGATTTTGTAACTGAAATCTCCAGGTTTTCATGGAGTCTGGAATGGGCTTCCTCCCCCCAAAACTCCCTGAAGCCATGGCAATCAGTCACTTGTCTTAAAGCCAACACCCAGTCAAAAATTTAACTCCAGCTGTATCACCTAGTGAAAAATTTCGACTTCCTAGAGTGAAATCTCAAGCTCTGTAACACTGATAAACTAGGAGTAATACACCAGATTGGCAAGGTAGAAGGCAAACAATATTTATTAACAAAATATAAACACAGACGGCTTAACCTGTAACAACATCTTAGTAATCTTTTATTCAAGGGCTTAATGTATCCATGGTGAGATCCAACAATCTTCACTAACATTCTTCTAAGAAAATATTTTTTATCATTCTTTTAGCAAATTACTTATAACAAGCAATATAAATTAGTAGGGTCTGATATGGAGACAGGTTTAAGAGGTGGTTGAGAAAACTGGAAATGATGGTGGTGGGAAGGTGCAAAGGTGGTGGGATTAGTGTTGGGATATTGAATGTCTGTAACAAATCATCATGAATAACTCTGTAAACCAGTGTTTATATAATATGTTAGGGAAACTTTTTTAAAAAAAATAAAGAGCTACTGAAGAGTTAAGAGTGCTAAAAGATGTTTGAGGATTACACCTTAAACTTACAACCTTCATTTTACATAAAAGCCAGGACACTTATATCTAAACAAAGCCAAGTTTCTGTTATACCATGGCTCATAACATTTTTATTTCACCACAGAGGAACAAGAATTTCTCAACCTTTCTACTTGATTCTCATTTGACAATTATATGATGACAATTTATCAGGA